AGGTCGGTAGAGCATTTATTTACGTTTTGTGTACCACTCCCTTTCTCACAACGCACTCACACCTTAATTATCTGGTTTTTAAAGGGCAGGTTTAGAAAGTGCGCAAAGCATTCACATCCCTTGTGGTTTCGTGATTTGGCTGAGAATAAAAGGAGAGAAAGTCATATTCCAATTCTGCGTCAACTACTATGTTGAATATCCATTTCTTTGCGCTCAGAAGTTTACCATTAATTACATCCTATGTTTAAACAGTGTTTTCCCGATACAATTAAGTGTCAACTTGCCACTATTGACTTGATTAAATGACGTCTTTCAGTAAAAAACCCAAGTTTTACGACATAATCCTGAGCCCCTGAAAGAATTCACAAGGAATTAAAGCCACTTAAGTTAGTTTTTCACGCAATTTTCAATTTTCCGACGCTTTTAGCTAGCTTGGACTTTGCCACATCATCGGTTCGAAAGAAACCTGCATTTTATCGCTAATTCCACACGATGGAGGTGGGGGGGACGGCGGGGGGCGCAAAGTCTAAATAGGTAACAACCAAACGAGGAGCCTCTATCGTAACACCCAAGAGAAAGCCTTTAAAATGTAATCCTTTCATCTTCGTTAAATGTATTTCGCCTATTCGAGGAACGGAGACTTCAAAATGTGTTCTTGTGTAGCGGTTACTAGGGTTAAAACAGTTTTTCGGTTTGCTTTCCGAGGAATTATGAGTAACAATATTTTGAGGCAACTAGGTGTAACCGAATAATTTTGATTTTGTTTCTGACGAAAGAACAGTAGTAAGCATAGTCTTAGCTTTCGAGCTAGAACTCATCAATGGCGCTCCAAGACGCGCATTTCTCCTCTCGCGAGAAAATTTAATACGAGTTTGGGAGGGGTTTGCCGGGGGTCTGACACTAATTTTCAGAGCTAAACCCCTTGCAAACCTCTCGCCGAAGAAAGGCTCGCCCGTTAAAGGTGATGCCCTTATAATGAGGACCTGCTGAGGGTTAGCGTGCTCTTTGATCTCCACTGAAGTCGAGGAACCGGCATAAAGCAGGTTTTGAGATTGTAGAAGCAACAAATTTGTAGTTAAGTTCCACCCCCCTTAAAAATGATGCGAGCAACATTGATGGGCTGTGTGATCGCGACAAAAAAATACCTTGCTACAATCTACGTAGTGACAACTTTGCAGCCCTTCTTGAAATGTTACTTAATGCTGCTCCTCTATTCTACGAGGAACAGTGCCTAACGTAACCTTTTAGTAATCTTGAAGCACAACGCTTTTCCCTGGCAAAAACTAAAAAAATTCCCAATACGCCAGTTAAGGTTCTTCACAACTTTCATGCTGCTCGGTAAAAATTCAAAACTCTAACGTTCGAACCTTTGATAGTCGAAAGTTGTATTAAATCAACTGGAGCCGTCGTGAAGGTTGCCTTTCAGTTACGGCCGAGTCTGTAAAACTGAACAGCCTTAATCAACCCCACTGTAACAGTTGTGAAGAATATTTATTGATCGTGCAGTTAAGATTATTAACCACTCAAAAGCAATAGACCCTTCTTCAATTTAATTTACTAAGCTCAACGCCCCGAAAACACTAATTTATATATATAAATTACGTGGTAACACTTCTCACTGTGACAGAAGATTGCCATTTGGACCGAATTTCATTTAAGAGGTGATCAAAAGGAAATAGCGAAAAGTTTCATCTGTTAGTACGTGAGAATGATGCATTTATTTCCTTCTGTTGGAAATCCAACTTTTGATGAAGGTGTTGACTGAATGTTCAGCTCTACAAGGCGTTACTCACTTTTAACCACATAACAATTGTAACGATTTGTCAAACAGAGCCGAAGCAGGCCCGGTGCTTTCTAAATGTATCTCTGCTTGGTTAAATTGAAGTTTCAATTGATGATCTTCGGAACCTCCGTTGTATGCCATTTATATCATTATAATTTTAATGTTCTGAAAAAACCAGTGATTTTAATTTCTTTCTTAATACCCCTCTCAGTCATTATGATAAAAGATAGGCCGTCTTAAAACTGAAACATGAAAGCAAGAAAAAAAAAACTCCAAGCTTATAATTAGTTTTGCTCGTAAACATGGACATAGAGGAAACTTGGGCAGACAGGGACGTAACACTCGATACGTCAGCTTCAGAAGTTTTTTTACATCGGCCAAGTTACATTATCAACTCAGTTGATAAAATCAAATTACCTCGTGCAGACAGGACTACAACACCACGGAAAAAATCGATTAAAAACATGAACTAACACTTTTCGAAAATGGCTGTATGTGTTTAGATGTGTTTACTGTTTCTTACGGCATAAGCATTTTCTATCATTGTGTAAGCAGCATTGAGTTCCAAATAGGAAAGTTATCAACAAGCAATCGAGGTTTCTGCTCTCAGATCACAAAAATTTTGAAGATTTCACGTCGTCGTTTTACAGAGGGAGCAAGAAAATAAACAATGCTCTAAGACGATGATACTGAGCCATTGTTATGCTCAACAAATCCCTAAGAGTTGTCCTCTTTCCCTTTCGCCGCCGCGGTTTACTGAAGGTCTCTAACGCCCAAAAAACGACGCACATGATCTTCTGGGAAATCGACCTTATCTTAGACGGCAAATTTTTAACGTTACTCGATGTTTGAGTGAGATTATGATGCCAAATTCAATCAAATAGTTATTTTGGATTCGTACTTTATACATTGTTTCACCATTAAGCTGATAGGGAAAAAGGTTTAGCCCACCTTCCGCTATCAATTGGCAGTTTTAAGATCCATCTTGGAGAAGAGAAGTGCCAGTTGCTTTCTTGTTTCGCATCAGCCTTATTAATAGACAGAAAACGATTTTTGGATGAGGTAAGAGCTTTGAAAAATAAAAATCTGGGACTATTTTGGACGTCTTAATTACGAAGGACTTTCACTGTATTTAGTTGAAAACAACTCAAAAGTCTTTAGAGGACTCTCAACCCGTGTTTAGCTTCCGCCGCTGCACAAAGGTTTTATCGCGCATCATCAATCACTTAGTAAGCATATAAGTCTGCTCACGAGCTACAAGATCCGTCTGCTTCCCCGGCCTCTGCCCTAGCTAGGTTACTCATCTCGTTAACCTTTCCTCGCAGTTTCCCACCACCCATTTATACACCTGAGTGGAGAGAGGCATTTTGGGAGAAAAGTGTCTTGCCCAAGAGCATGACAAAAGCACCTTGCTAAGGCTCCAACCCAGGACCTCTCGATAAATGCGAAATCTGCTCTAGGCATCAGGCCACCACGGCCTCCAACAGCTGAGACGAGACATTGATGTCGTACCCTGATCTCAGTTATGGCAAAAGACATTCACATTGAATTGAAGAACAATGGGCGAATTTGAAGAAGTTTATTGGACATCAACATTGATTCATAATCAATTTTGTTAAGTTTCATACGTTAGATTTCATGTTACTCAAATAACAAACTTGAGTTTGCTTTCATATTCAAGTAATTTCTGATTCCCAAATTTTTCCAACACTCATTATAATCGATCCTCTCTGTTTGTTTTAAACATAAACATTACATATTATTTATTCCTGATCTCCTTCTCTTCGCTTGTTTAAGCAGTGCTCCCGCTCTTTGGAATTCTCCTCCTCCTCCGTGTGAATCTTCAATAGGAGGCTTGTTCATCTAGCATTACCAAAACAAATTAAATTCCGTTTTAGAAACTTTTCCTTTCTTTTATGATGTTAAACTGGAAGATTCTTTTTAAAATTGTTCTATGATTGACAAAACCTTAGATGTGCGATTCATGAGTGAATTTGCTACAAACAAAATGAAAAAATAAAACAAACAATTTTATTTCAATTTTTTTCGTTAAAAATTTTGAAACAATTTTTCTTGAATTTGCAGGGGGCGACATCCGATAGAAATTTAAGGTTTAGCTACATATTTATTTCTTTGTTTAATGAGTTGTAATTAAGCAGATACATTCCCTTTTGGGCATTGATATCAGAAACGTCTTTTCTGTAGATAAAACTTATTATACGATATATGTTCTTCACCTGGTTAGGAATAGCGGTGCCCGCCCTGATTCTTATTTACTTAGAACAGAATTGATTTACTCTTTACTCTTTAAATCAAGGTCGTCGACAGAACTTACCACTGCTTGTAATTTTCTAAGCCTTCTCTTCACAGAAGAGCATTTAGCTTTTCTATGCCTTGCCCAGATTATTCGCATGCATTGCCGTGGAATGCGTTCGTTGTTACGCTTGAATTGCGCTCCATTGCTGTCTTTCTTTTGCCCTTCAACGCAACAAAATGAAACCAGAAGCAAGGAAAAAACAAGGAAACTTGGGAAAAACTTTAAAGAAACTTTCATCCTGATGAGTCCTTCTTAAATGTGACGAAGCTCTGTAGAGTTGGTGATCACTTCAAAGCTGAGCAAAGTGTTGAGTGTTGTTTGTGAAGCTTTAAATTTTGTGGCAAAGAAAATCTCCTAAGTGGGACGGTTGTGTTAATAGTTGATTTTTTTCTTTTGATCGAATTAATGGGATTTGACAGTTTTGAAATCCCTTAATTGTGAGGAAAAGCAGACGTTTCCTAATGCTATTGCCAAGGTGTTGATTGCATGTTATCATCTTAATATAAAATTCTTGAAAATAAAAATATATCATCGTTTCGCGTTTGTGAGGTGCGAACCCAATTATCTACCAAAATATTACTTTAACGCGTAACTCATATTGTAATGATCAGATTAACATGAATTTGAATGACTTTGGGCAAGGTGTTAAGACTGGCCAATACCGGCATTTGCGTTTCATAGGCCATTTATCTTATGTAGTGGTAATCGATTAAAAAAACAGAAGGCATTACCGGGATATCGACCTATTCCCCTGACGAAGAAATTTTGTCACCATGAAAACGAGGTAGGTTTAAAAAATGGCGCCTTCTTATTATGCCATGCGCAATGACGATTTCATGACCGACATTTTGAAGTTCTGCTAGTCAGAATCGTTACTCAGATGTTCACTTCTAAGTGGAAATGGCCTTGACAAGAAGTGAACTCCGTGTTCTAGCCATACTTGGCTTGGTAATTTTAATTTTATGGTCGTTCTTCGGCTTATTTTGGAGCCTTCTTCTCGTTTTTTCGTTTCTGATCTACGCATATAACTTCGGAAGGCATGGAAATGGGAAAATTCGGCGAGTTTACCCAGAGGTTGACAGCGAACCAGATCTAGATTTGACGTTTCAAGAGAAATCTAGGGATGATTTTCCGGTGCTTCAAGACTTGGAGTTCACTGGTTTACCCACAGACAGATATTCGCTGCGATCACCCACACCTTTGATGTCTGTCACCAAAAGGCTTAGTTTCAACATGAGGTGAGATTTTTTTGTTGTATCTGTTAGTAGCGAAAGGTCTTAATCGAACCTTTTAAATTCGCCATTCGACAAAGTAAACCATGCTCTTATTAAGAAAAAAGCTTGATAGTAAAATGAAAAAAAGGAAATCTAGAGTTTGCAGCTGAGACCTCCCTGGCTTTTTCACGCTATATTTTTTTGTATATAAGAAAATTCGTATGTTAGAGAAGAAAGTACAAATATATACTTGCGCAATATTCAGCCTTTTTGTCATCGGGTACATATCTTTGTTTTCCCTTTTGTGGTCAGTAACAACCTCTATCGCTGAATGCACTTTCCTTTTTCTTTTCACTTTTTAAAAGCCCGCTTTTTGAACGAAAAATAGCTGCTTGCAAATATTGGTCTGTCATGCATCAATCACTTAAAGCTTCAACATCAATCCCCTGACATTGGCCCAAAATTGTGTACCCTACCCAAGTGCCAGATTTGATAGTCAATGTTTTTGTAATTCTTTTGGTGCATGAAGCAAAATATTTATTAGTCATATCAAACTGATTTATACTTTTAGTTCCACAACACCTTTTCACACAAGAAAAGCCTGGAACAGCAGAGATATGAATGGAACTCTGTATTCAGGGCGAGGAAGTGCCCTTGGATATCACCGTAAGCAGCACAATTTTAGTCTCTTGAATCCTGCACTGCAGAGGCCATCCACTGTTAAAATAGCTTCACCAGATGTCACAGTTAACAGGACATTCACATTGTAAGTGATCAGTTTTCCTTATCAGGTGGTTCTATGCACAGGTCAAGTGTTGGAAGTAATTTCAGTGCAATAATTTTGCTGCTACTTAGATTCATATGAAGGGTCCTTAACACAGGTCCTGGAAAACCTGGAAAGTCCCGAAATTTTATTTTGATATTTTCCAGGACTGGAAAGTCCTGGAAAAACACTCTACAGGTCCTGAATATCTGCTTGACTCAAGCAATAAAGTTTTCAGAATTAGCAATATAATAAATGCATGTAGACTGTAAAGAGAATTGATTGTGAAATCTTGGGAATGAAAGGTTTGAAGGTGAAACTCGGATTCCTGGAAAAATCAGTCAAAGTCCTGGAAAAGTCTTGGAAATGTTCTGGAAAAGTTCAGGAAATTTGTTTCTGTAAAAGCATACAAACCCTGTGATAGTCATTTCATTCTGTTGAGTCTGTGATAAGCTCTGGCCAAATGATCTGCCTAACTCAATTAACTGCCATCTGGTTTGCTTATGTTGTGGAGCACTGGATTGTATATGGGAAGTTAAGTGTTCAAGCCCCAGACCGGACAACAATCATGGTCTTAAAAGGACTGAGGATATTATACTCCCTTACTGGCTTCTATTGACAACCCTGTAATTACTAACTGGTATCAGGCAAAAGGTGAGGTCTGTACTTGAGGCTAATGGCCCATCCAGCTGGAGCTTGTCCTTGGTTTCCAAGTAACATGAAGTGAAGTATTACTACTCCTTCCTGGATGGGATGGGCTCTATTCCATTGCAAGGTTACCCCCCAGCATTTTACTGGTACCTATTTTTAGTCCTGGGGGGAGAGAGACACACAGTGTGAGTGATAAATATCTTACACAACACATTGACCCAGCCAGGTCTCGAATCTGGACCACTTGACATAGAATTTAGTGCGCTGAACAATAGACCACTACTTCTCATACAATTACTAACTGTATACTTAACTTAAGTATGAATTTCAATTGATGGTTTGAAATAGGAATAATGAGGGCAGATTGTTTCATTGTACGGCTTGGAGTCTATGTAAATGTTTTCCAAAGTATGTTAGTTGATGTTTACTGTAGATCCAACAGTCCCTTAAAGAGAGCAGGAGTTGATGAGAACCCATGTAGCAGAGTCACTGTCCTCTCTGCTCTCAAAGAAAGCAGGAAAAGAAGTTTTGCTGTTTTTGATGAAGGGGAGGAAGAAGTGTCACGACCATCTAAAAGGTGTGTGGTAAACTGTACAATGTATACAACATTCACCTGTTACAACCAAACATCAGTAGGCATATTCTCCATACTGTTCTCTATACATTTCCTAAGGTGCTGACCAGGAGAATTTGTGTAACAATCAAAAGCTTCTTTAGTTGGTGATCATTTGTTGTATTTTCATGACCTTAATGTTTGATTGAAGGGTGATTTTGAAAGGAGAAACTAGATGCTAGTCACCTGTAAGGGTCTAAGGGTTTATAAACTACATTTCTTTGAAAAGGGGTAAGTTTCTAAAGAAACTGTGATGCTGTTTTGGTGAGGGTTAAGGTAACATTATTTTGTTTCATAAACTGTATTTGTAATGTAAATTGGCTGGAGTTTCTTAAACTGACATTCCAAGCGGTAGCACCGTGTGAGAGCAAATAGAGAAATTTTAGGTTTTGTGTGGTTTATATACAGAAAGACAGAGCCTTTCCCCTTATCTAGGCAGTTCAGAAGGGGCACAACTCAACAAAAAAAATTTCAGCACTCTTCATCCCTCCAGCTAGACCAAATGCTTTTCATTTAGCCAATTTATTCACGTTTTTTTTTTTCACATTTCCATCTTCCCACCAACAGCTTATCTCAATCTTTCTGTATGTATACCGCATGCGAAAAAAGATGTCTCTATTTTCTTTGACGAGGGCTAATGCAAGAAATGCCCGCTTTAGAAATTTACTCTGGTGACCGATTAACATTATGAAGCCAGTTGATTTTTTTTAGCTATGATTTTTTGACAACTCTAAACTGACACCCCTCCCCCCACTAGACCCAGCAAGTTATAAATTTGAACATATCTTTTTATTTTCAGGAGAGATACCAAGCCAGCAGAATCTTACCCATTTAGCAGTCCTCTTCTCAAAGGCCGCAAACGAGTAGCAATCCCAGAAAGAACTGAAAAAGCAGCTGATGGAGGCTCTAAGAAGAAAAGCAGAGTTGTAGATGATAGTGCAAGTGATTCTTCTGACAATGTGCAGCATGATAGTTATGTGGAAGCTGTTACACAGAAGAGGAAAATTATGGAAACTGAAAAAGAACCACCAGTTGTAAGTGAAACAGTTGTGCTATATCAAAGATCAGTCGTCCCTGATTTTTGTTGCTCCAGTTACTGTTATTTCATCAGTTAAGAGAGATGTTCGGAAGCCATACTCCGATTTATGAGTTCTGTATTTAAAAGGTGTCTTTTAGGTAATTTGTGTTGTGTTCTTGGGAAACAAGACACATTTCTTTCCTGTTGCCTTTTTTTGCCAAAAAGTATAAATGGGTAACAGTGGATTGTTGGGGATTCTTGTAGTGGATCCCCAACCAGGAAGGGTACAGCTGGAGCATGGTATTCCCTAATTGCTTTACATGCATGTCAACTGCTGCCTTGCGCAAAGTGAAGGTGGATTCAAGGGCTACCATTGTGTCCAGCCAGTACCTCAGACAGAGGTGTGCCCCTTTGGCTGGTAAAATGTAAGTCCATGGCAGGTAACATCATTTCATTTTTCTTTTGAATAAATCGTATGAAAATCCAGCAAGCACTGGCAATGTATATGTATGTAAGACCAAGGCTACATGTCAAATTACCCTCTTGGTGAAATCAAGCATACATGTAGAGGAGTGTAGTTTGTCTTAAATTTTGTAGTCTGTAATTTTCTTTAAGCCCATTCTTAACTTTTTACCGATCAATCTTAGAGTGAAGACATAACAGAAAGTGCAGAAAATTCAGGAGAAGACGAAGTTGACTCCTCTAAAGAGAGAAGTAAGATTTTGGATAATGGTTACAAGTCCATGGAGACTGAACACAGTGAGACACTAAATGAATCTGCCTCACGAAAAAGAAAAGAAGCAACCGCAGAAAGAGATGTAACAAAAACTAATGTAAGTGGAAATCATATCCATAAAGTACACGGTAGCTTCTGAGTAGGCTTTCAATAGCGCTGCAATATGAGTGGCCGTTTGTTTTGAGCCCGCGAGCGATTTGAGCGCGGGAAAGGTCCGCGAGGGGTCTGGGACGATAATTATCAGTGCCAGACCCCTTGTAGACCTCCCACCGGCTCGCCTTGCGTAAGGCCTCAAAGTTTCACACGGGCGATAAAACGCTCGTGCTGCAGGGCTTAAAATGGCAGCCAACTCGTTGGCTAGCCATGTGGTAAATATGCACTTTTTCCTTCATTTATCAGTGCGTTTCCTTGCGTTGCCCTTGCTGTTTTATTTAATAAATGTGATTATAATTTTGCTCCATAAAGGATGACAAAAATGAGAGTAAGTCAAGGAAGACTAAGGAGTCAGAACCACTGACAGATAAAGAAGAAGTTAAACGGTTGGTAGACGCCTTAACTGTTTGTATCACTAATATAAAATAATAAACATTAATTTTTTAACTCCATTGTTAAAATGGCCTCATATGGCCACGTTATCGCAGGTTACATGTCTTTGCAAACAGAATTTTTATGCTGCATTTTTTTTCGGGGGGTGGGGGGCGGAGGCTTACCAACTGGCGCTCATTTCTACTGTTAATCTCTCTTGTAGAGGAAAGACTGAGTACGTGAATGAAGATGTCAGCTCGGTACTTAAACCTCCGGCAACAAATGTACAGAAACGATTTACAGTCCCAAGATTTGCATCCAAAGACGATTCCAGAAGAAGGGCTGTACCAGTTTATTGTGCTTCTAATGAAGAATCTGAGATGGTGAGGTTTACTTTAAAGTCTTTTTAGGGGCATTTTTTAACCGAAGTGCTTAGATAAATATTAAAAGCGCTGTGGTTTTGTTCTGTTAAATGCTTAGTGATTAAATTAAACATAGTTTACCAACCAAACAAAACCAACGGGCTTTGGACTCGTTTAGACAACTTTTCCCGCAATTGGCATAAAATGACCCGTGTACAATGTAAATCGTTCGATTGGTTTACAAATACTTGCGCCATTTTCTCAAACAATTGAGATTGAATTCAAGTAACACCGCTGCAAACCTCGCTATAGTAACAGTTATTTCCCGCCCTTAAGAACCAGTCGGTATGCGGTTTGTAATTGGGTTAAAAGTCAGAAATATTTGGCACTCTTTCTGCTCTGGCAATCTGTATCAGAAGTGAAGTCGTGAGGTCAGCACACGCGTTTTCCCGCGTTTGGTTTACTTTAACAGTTTTTTCGCGTATTTTTAGCCACAAAGAAGAACTGTGTCGAGAAAAATCAACCAGGAGCAGTTGAAGATCGATCGCAAGTTAGCCTGGGAGCGGGTGAATGAGCTGCTGGGTGGCAGTGATGATGATGATGATGAAAGTGAAGTGAAAGATAAAGAGAAACCAGGTAAAAAGACTCTAACGATGCATTTTTTTTTTGTCTTGGCGAATAATCACAACTCTTGAAAACGCTCTAATAAGCCCCATCTATTAAGCCCCTCCTTTTAATAAGCTCCCCTCTACCTTTGAAACCCTTGGGCATTGACAAGTCCCCCCCCTCCTCCGTGAGGGCTTCTCGCAGAGGTTACTGCAAAGCTGGAGACTGTTTCTTTAAAAGGGATTAGAACGAGTATGGATGGATACAAACGTCTCAGTGAAGTGTTTTCAATAACCAGATTTTCTTTTTAAAGAACAGCATAACCTAGCTATTCCCATTTTAAAGCGAGACTGTTCATGGAAACCATGGTGTCTTCTCCACTTCCACCGTTAACGTACGAGTTATTTTGCTTCTCACAAGTCACACACATGACTCGCCCCTTTGTCACCAACACCCTGTGCGTGACGAGGTGTCGATCGCTGGTTTTCCCTCGTTAAATAACAAATTTCTTCTCCACTCCTTACACGAGAAACTTAACGACCTCAACTCAAGATAGTGCTCCTTCTTTTCTTTAAACGAAAATTCCGCAAAAGTAAGTGGAATAAATGCCATGAGTTAGGATTCTCGTTTATGTTCTTTTGTCAGATACGACAACGGTTTCTTCAGCTGCGGCTACTTCGACCTCAGCTTCGTTATTCAAGGTCCCTACTGCAGGTGTTGTGACAAGCAGGGGGACAATAACTACCACTACTGCCCAGAGCCTTATCGCCCCAACCCCTGGTTTGGGAGATCCTCGAAGGACCACAAGTGATCAGCAGGTCCCTACATCAAGTGTTTCTAGTTCCAATCCTGTAATGCACGGTAGTGGCACTGCTACGCAATCCCAAAGTTCTACTTTGCGTGCGTTACTATCCCAACAGCGACCAGGAGTTGATTTGTGTTCTAAACCGTCAGGTACACCCAGGCTGTCTACGGCATTGACAGGTGAAGGAATAAAAATTCCTACTTCACAACAGGGAAAGGCTGCTCCCACAAGCTCATCAATTGCTCCTGTCCAGTCACAAGGAAACCCAGCGCAAAGTTCGACTGTTACAACAGGACCAGTTTCCTCAGGATTCCAGCTTTCGTCATTTTCCTCATCTGGGGCGTCGCCCTTCGCTAAGCCGGCAACAACTAACCCACCAACTTTGAACACAAATATTACTTCTTCCCAAAAGAGCTGGGTTTAGTTTCTCCACAGTTTCTTCGTCGAGCGTATCTGGGATGCCGCCGTCCAACGCTTCAACCAATGGGCAAGCAGGGTTCAATTTTTCAGCTTCAAATAGTACAAAGATTGTCTTTGGTGAGAAGTCAACACAAAATACTCAGGTTACGACCTCTGTGAATTCTTCAAGTACTTTCTTTTTAGGGCAAAATACTTCCCAAACTTCTGGGTCGTTGGCAAGTGGCAATGTAGCTGCTTCATTGCAAAGTCCGTTTGGAAAACGAACCGAAACTACGCAAAATAGCTCTACTCTAACTGCGATTCCATCGACAAATGTATTTGGGCAGAGTGCCACGGCGCCTCAGAATTCCCTTGCATCAACAACTCAAAAAAAGGTACTTTTGGTGTAAGTAACATGCAACCTGTAACAGGAAAACAAGGTCAAACTTCGTTTGGTTCTGCCTTCGGTGTGAATGGCTTTGGGGCCAAGCCTTCACAAAACACTCCTCAAGCTTCAAGTTTCACACAAAGTCCGTTTACCCAGAACACATTTGGCCAGAATGCTTCCCAGGGTGCGTTTGGAGCGAATCCTACCCATGGTGCCTTTGGAGTGCAACAGCAAAACCAGCCAGCTTCTTCAAATACGTTTCGAGCGCAAAACGCGAACAGTTCTCTAAACGCAAGTCAAAAGACTCCTCAAAGTGGTTTGGGTGCTCAGCATTTGCAAAATACTTTTGGTTCACAGCAGAAAACGACACAAAATATTTTCGGGAACCAGGCGAATCAAAATGTATTTGGACCGAATCCAAATCAAAGTAGTGCCCAAATTGCTTTTGGTACCCAATCGACACAGTTTAACTTTGGAACTCAGCCAAACCAAAAAACTACCCAAGGTGCTTTTGGACAAGCTCCTAGCCAGAAATCATCTCCGTTCACTTTTGCTGCAAATACGTCGCAAAACGCTTCCAACTCCCCTTTCAATGGGTTTGGAAACAGTGCCGGTGCTCAGAACACCTTTGGAGCAGCGCCTTCCCAGAATGCTGCGGCTTCTAGTGGATTTAGTTTCAATGCAAATGCGACGGCAAATAACCCAACACCCGGGGGTTTTAATTTCAGTGGCGCTGCGAACAAAACAGGAGGATTTCAATTTGGTAAGATCTGGGAATAGTGAAAAATTTAATCAATGCTAATATGTGAACAAATGCGTTGCTACCCCTCCCCTAACCCAAAATAATCAGCTGATAACAAGTTAGGGTTATTGTTGTGTTAGGGGAGGGGCAGGTGCGCAGTTTCTCATTCAGAGAATGATTGTGCTTTTGTTAGTTCGTTTCCTCTATTCCTTATTTTCTTTTTTTTAAGCGAAACTCTGTCAAAAGTTTCATGGTTTTAAAGACGTTTTAAAGACGTTTTAAAGACGTTTCCTTTCATTGTCTGGTCACCATGCCAGGCTTGTCATCTGCTCTTAGACCTTCTCTTCGTCTTCTGAATTTCGATAACTTCGAATGCAATTTTACTTACCCTGTTTCACTGAATTTTCATTGCCTTTTTTTTTCCAGGCTCTTCAGCGGGTAACAGTAGCTTCGGGCAGTTTGGCCAAGCAACAGCTCCACCTGCGGGTAAGTATATCAGGACTTCCGGGGTTCCCACCCTTTGATTTTTCACAGCCGGCAGAGCCCCAGATGAAGCTACGGGGGTTTGGGGAAAAGTACCTTACCCCCCTCCCCCTCACCCTCCCCACTTCAGTTCATGCCAGTAATTTTCTCCCCCTTGATTGCATGGAGAAAGGAGTTTTATATTAAGTAGTAGAAAGTCGCATTGTAATTTTAACCTCTAATTTTCTGAGCTCCATTAAAATTCGCAGTCGTGTAGAAATCTAGTGTAATTTTTTCACCATCCTTTTTTCTTCATAGCTGTGCCCGCGACACCTGCGCCCAGTGGGGGTTTCAACTTCGCCCCAGGTGGTGCGTCGGGAAGTCGTTTTGCCGCACCCACACCCGCACTAGCATTTGGGGCGCCAAGCACTCCGCAAGGGGCAGGCAGCAACCTGACGGCAAGATCAAGGGCTCGCACAGCGGCCCGGAGAAGGGGGAAGAAATAACCGCTTGCGGAAAATTGAAAAATTGGCGCTGAAGAGATGATTATGAATACATGGGCATTAAGGCTCACTGTACACGTTTCGAAGGTGAGAGTGATTCACTGAAATGGTCGGAAAGTCATACTTTAATGCTGCTTTCCTGAAAAAGAAGGATGTTACCGTGCTTCTCAAGTTAATTGGAGGGTGTAGAGTTTGCGTATCACAATCAGGGTGAATCCACTGGGAGAAGAACTGGAATCTATGAAAGTGGTAACGAACGACTTTGCAAGCGTTACGTTTTGCTGTTAAACATACCATAATCCATTTTTCGTGGCGACGCTGGCTGTTGTAAAGAAAAGCGACTCGCAAATGGTATAAAGAATCTCTCTTTTTTAATTGGACGAAAGAAACTTGGCCATATTGATTTACCCAATGATAGATGTATATAGCGATTGCAGAAGTAGTGTTAGCTGTTCAAATTGATATTTTGGATTAATAAATGAATTTTTACTTGCATGTTTTCCTTTTGCTCCTTTAAAATCACGTAGTTGTCTAGTTCGAATAAGACTTACCATAAACACGTATCTGTGTATGCAGAAATAAAATTTAAATGTAGGTAAATCAAGTGTGCATCCTCATTCACTTTGCTCTGACGCAGGGCTAACACTGGAAACTTCAGCTCTATAATCTACTACGGTGCCCCAGATACATTATAAACTCAGTTGATAATAGTTATTTTCCCGCCTTGCTCCAACTGGATGTTTTGAATAGTCTCGTTCGTCAGCTTGCCTGTTCTGGAGGTTCAGTATAGAAAAACCAAGCGCCTTAGAAGCGGAAGAGGGCTACTATTGCGCCGTTTATTATTTCGCTTCGTTTTACCAATTGAACACATGGAGCAGGCTGTATTACAGCAATTGATTGAAAAGCACCCAAAGGTAATCGGTAGCAGTGCGAAAGTTTATTTCACTTATATTTTCAACTTTTTTTCCGTTTGAATTCAATTGTAACTCCTCAGTGTTTTGGTTCATCTTTACTTTTCCCAGCCTCTTTGTTTTCCTCGTCTTTGATTTCTTGTTTGGGAGCGTCGACGTCATCTTCAATCAACTCATACAATTCCTCTCTGAAGGTGAATACCACTGTGGATAGAAAGGAATCATGTAAACTGAAGGTTAGGTGACAAGGACTTGAGAAGTTTTGGATAACTCTCTCACTCGCATCGGTCTAACAATCAGGGTAATCTAGCAAAAGTCTTTCACAGATTGCGGCCATTTTTTCTAGGTAGCCGCCATCTTAAATACTGGCCGAGAAAGCTCCGGGGACGAGTTTAAAGAGTAGCCTCGCAACAACTCATATCTCTGGATTGGCCATTGGCAAGGAAAATCAGTAAAGGATGAAATTTCAATTTGTGTGAAACTGTTGAAGAAATTTAAAATTTCAAGGGATAGTTTACCCCAATAGTTCTCTCCGGCAAGTGTCGCTGATAATTTTTCTGTGTTTGTTCCGCTGGCTTGAGGGGAATTAACAGCAACACATACATAGTTGCGAATGTCTGCTACAATCTAAGTTTTATGAAAATCAACACCCAGTACTTACTGACAATGACCCTTAAAACTCTCCACAACCGAAGAACTATGATGAAAGCAAAGCCTTTCCATGCCTTCTTTGCACGGATGACGCTGAAGAAAAAAACAACAAACATCGAAAAATAAAATGATTAAAGAACGAATGAATTAACGAAGAAGGGAACAGGCCCTTCAAATTTCACAGAAAAGATTGGAAGGAGAAAAGTGAACGAGAAAAAATTGTATATTTGAACAATACTGTTGATCACGGATCAACCAAAATTTTGGTTAAATTCCGGATTTAAACAGCCTTCACTCAAAAGCAATTATTTTGCACTATGGAGAATTTCACGTTGACGGGGTTCCGGATTAGAATGAAACTTGTGTAGGAGCGGCGGGTCAAAGCCCCCCCTCCCCCCTCCTCCCCCCTCTCCTTCGAAAAGAAAAAGATTGCGCAAATCAGTTATTCACCCTTTCGAGGAGAATGGACGCTGGACAGATTCACTTATTAAACATACCGCACACAGGATTTGAATAATCCTATTTGCACACACTCACCTTAACACTATTTCGATAACAAACGCCGTTACCACGATAAATGCATCAAATAACTGTAGACAAGAAAATGAGGTTTAAAATGAACTTAAGTGGATGTTTAAATCGCTGAAGAGAACAGCTTTTGTTGAGGTCTAAACACAGTAGGTGTTAAAGGATTTTCTCACCTCCAGTTTCTCTTTCATAAAGTACTCGCATCCCATTGCATAAAACTTGAGAAAAACCTACAGAAATGAGCAAATGTGATTAATGCGAAGAATGGAGATCACTCTTTATCATTGCGTAAAATTGATTATCGCTGTGTTGGAGATCAGAAGCACACTTCCAAGTATACTTCTGCTGAGATTCAAATTTGTGAATTCAACCAGTGATACAGAGTTGCAAATTCTTAACTCTCAGTGACCGGCTTAAAAATCGTTCGCCACTCTGCTATCTTTAGCCGATAATTTTTTTTACCTCATTGGTCACCAGAACTGCAAGTGGAAACTTGTCCAATTATTGAAATATCATCGAGCAGCAGTCAATTCCGAGTTTTGAGCAAAATTGAATGCATGATTTGCCAGGAACAGGTTTAGATGTGTGAGTCGATCCCAAGTTCAGAATTGGCTCGAAGGTTTGTTGGATCTTCGTGACGCGCTTGAGACATATTAACCAAGTAAATTCCAGTCTTGTGCGTAATCTGACGAAACAACACGGCGTCTACGATACCCTAGATGCCTATTATTTCTTAGTTCTACTTTTAAACTCAAAAGCAACTCTGCTGAGGCTTACCTCAAACACGAAGATGGCGAGGATGGACAAGCCAACAAAATGAAGCAGATACCGGGACGCGTGAGTTTCGTCTAAAGAAGGAACAGAGCCTCTTATTTTCTGTATCGTCTATTCGTTTTGTGGATGTCATGCCGATCTTAGGGATTGCCATCGAATACCCCTAAGATTAATTACGTCTTTCGTAACATGGGAATGTCCCGGTTGAATCCCCTTCTACCTAAGATTGGTGCGAAATCTTAAGTACGCTGAGACTTTCAAAGGAAACGAAGAAACCTCGAATTTTATCCAGCTCCGTAGTTATACACTATTAAATAATATTTCCAATAATTTTTGTGTGTAGGCTTATAAGCTCAGAAAGATAAAAAAATTTCTACAACTTTCGTAGGTCTCAGCAGAATGACTCACTGATCGAAATTAAACTATATAATTTTCCTAAACGTGGTTAGTTTGTTAACTGCTCGAATTATGCTCTAATAAGACAGTTTACATGTCATTCTTGTAACTGGACTATGTTTTAAGAAGTCATTTTTAAGCGTCATTTTTTTCGACAGGCTAATTTTTTGGTTGAGAAAAACTTAGTTGTTTTTCAAATCTTGTCAAAGTTTAGTTTAACCAGACTTAGTATCGTCCAATGAATTAGGGGGGTAAGTTTCTCAAGAAATCGTGGTGCTGCGTCGGTGGGAGAGTATAACAGGGAAATTAAGTATTATCGATTGACTTGATAACGTAAATTGACCACTGTGAAGAGTTTCAAGGCTGACGTTTCGAGAAGGGCTACGCTCGCTCTGACGAAGGGCTAACGCTCGAAACGTCAGCTTTGAAACTCTTTACGGTGACTCATTTACGTTATCAACTCAGTTGATAATACTAAATTACTTTGTGTCGTCCAATTATACCCGTGATTATAAATCAAGCCTCCGCCTTTTTCGTCGCTAAATCTCAAGCAAGGATATGATCCTTGCAGGTCGTCTGTTATTCTTCCTTTCAGTTATGGATTCAAATAGAACTCCATACAGTCCTATTACGATCATAAATAGAACATTTATTACCTTTGATAACATTAAATTCCATCAGCATGAGGACGAGGTTGATGATCACTTCAATTAAGACCAAGACGATTAGACTGACTTGCCACGTGACCCCTGTCAACATTACAGCCAATGAGTGACGAAGGACACTTGAAAAGGGACAACAAATAAAAATGAAAAGCGCATTAATTTTATAATCCAAGTGCTAAACACGACGCACTTAACTTTAAAGATACAGTTTTGATTTGCAGCATGCCTTTATTGCATGAAAGACATAAAAAGGAGGCTCATTGTTGACAGTACTCAGGCTACAGAATTTATCTTGTTGAACCGTGACATATGGGGGGGATTTTGTAAATTTTATGCTCGATGCTCTGACTGTAGCATTTTATCCCAAATTATGCCGGAATAATTAATCTGCCCTTGTCGAGAATCGACTGAGATAGAAACTTTGCTCGAACGAAGGAAAAAAAAAAAAATTCCGGTTATTCAAGATATCGTGATGTTTTTAGCTTCTTGAAGATAAGGCTTTTAGCGATTTACTGGCGTCCGGATGTTATAATGAAGCTCATCAGTCATTAGCTTATGGGCTAAATTTTGCATAAAATATATTTGGGGTTTTTTGTTTTTTTTTTTACCCCGCAACCTTGAAACAAAGAGTCTATGGTCGTTCAAACCATTTACTAAAAAACTAGAAACAAAAAAGAGTGTGCAACAGCTCCTCAATTTGAAGCATGATACTGAAACTATACTGCATGGATTAAAATAGCTTTCGTCTGTTTACTCATTCACTTTAGCAGAATTGACGCTGTGAGGCCACATTGTCTGTCTATGAAAGCAGAATACATTTGAGCTTCTTATTTTTCAATTTACCTCAAAATGAGCCATTTATATGTTTAGTAGATAAATATTCAGTTGTACCTGCAGCATTCCTCGCAGCTGCCCTGCTCGTATGTTTCCGTCAACCTCCTTCGCCATATCTGCATATATGTTTTCCTGCCATCTTCTTTGTCCGTTTGAGAAAGTTCAGAACTGTACATAAATCAAAAGTTTTAAGATATTTTTGGCTATTTCAGAGATTGTTCACCAATAAAATTGAACACCTTTCCACTGAAAAACCGACGCTTTTCACTTCGAAATATATTGGGCAATCATTTGATTTTGCTAGAGACTTCAGACACCATTCTCTTCGTTTAGATATAAGCTTGGATCAGATTGTGAAGTTCATGAAGGCTTTTCAACTTGCAAGCTCATGCATGGGATCTTGAGCATCTTTTAAAAAGTGTCAACCATGCAGAAAAAATGGAAAAAAATATATGTGTGTACTAAACAATAAATTTAAACATCGCTTCGTAACAATGATGTGGCTTCAGTAAGATTCACTAGGTCAGGCTCGAATTTTTTAAAACTTTTTCCCTTATTCATCCCCTGCCAGTTACCACACATTTTGCCAAACTTCTATAATTATGCGAAGCGTTTGTGAAACATTCATTCGGCGAGGCCTTATCGTTCTCAAAGTTTGACAACGCGAATGTTTACAGTATTGTCGCAGGATGTATTGTTAGCATGTTTGGATATTCAATGCAGTCGCTCAACTATGCGAATTCGTTAGAAATTGTACGAAACATTAACTCGGGAAAGTATTATCGTTTTTTAAGTTCAACATCGAGAATGTTTATAGTATTGTCAGCATGTCTTTGGATACCCAATGCGGTTGCTCATCTAAGGGGTGAATTTGTTGGCATAAAAAGTTAAAAAAAACAGAAATATAAAAGTGCAACTGTATGGCATTTTCCAAGACTTTGAAAACGAAATTTTAAAAATGCTAATTCCTTTTCACCTCTCATCCATCAGGCCCAGGTGTTTTTCCTCAAAAATAAACTTGTTTCTTCACAGAGCTCTCGAAATTCCCTCCATCTGCTCGCCCGCTTTTTGAACAAGTCACACAGCCTTCTCAAGGATTCACACGATATTCGAAAAAGGAACAGCTTGATCTCTATCGCCTGCCTACGCGAGAGGCTCAATGAAAACCATAAAAACAACCAACTCGAGAAAGAAAATGATTCACCCTTCAAAACATCAACGAAACAAAGAAACTTTAAAATTAGCATACGCAAATGAAGCTCATCAGATATGGCTGGCACGTTTGGTTCCTGTTAATAAAATCAACATCTTGCATATGGTTTTCATTCGCCATATAAATCGTTTTTCACTCTACCCTCTTTTATTTCTTTTCTCCATGGCATCGCCATAATAAATTTTAATCATTGAGGGCAATATTGCAAACAAGTCATTTTTTAAACTTTTATTTCCAATCGTCTGCAAGCATGATTTCTTGGTTAAAATTCTGTATTTCTCAAACTACAGTGTTAATCAGCGATTTGTTGGCTTAAATACATTTTTCTATTGAGATATATAATTCCTGATATCTTTTACAATTTTTCACTGAAATTTTTTGGCGTCTAAGCAAACTTTACCATCTTTTAAAAAATTTAATTCACTTTTTGTTGTCGCATGAATAACGCTCTGTAAAATAATTTTCACGCCCGACTTTCTTCGACGTTGTTCTACGCTTTCAGGTAAACCAAGTGGCCTGTTTTAATTTAAAAACAACCTTTATATGCTAATTGGTGACTTATATCAAGAGTTCTCAGCTGGCAGCCAGTCTTAGCATCGCCAACTACCTCACACGCTCAACAAAAGCGAACAAATTAACCGTAAAGATTTAAGTGATGTTTGTAAACTTTTCTGTTTAATAGCCGGTGCAAGCTATACCCAAATGGAAAATCGAAGAACCTGTCAGCTTCTGGGCACATTTCTGCAAAATCAGCTGCCTCACGAAAAGAATAATCCAAAATTGCGATGAAGGTTTTTAAAAGAAGAAGAGAGACTTTCCTTTCATACCAATCGCTATAGGTGTTGGATTGCGCCTGCATTAACCATTAAACGCGGAGTATGAAGTAGTCCCAGGCCACTACGGGTTTATAACATAAACATAGCCGAAGTGAAAGTAAGAGCTGTACGTCAAGAGTATCTTGTGAATGTTCCTTAGTGTTTCTCGACAAGAGAAAATAATGTCAAGAACTTCGACATGGACGGGACACCTGTTCGTCGCCTGAGCTTTACTGACATTTTAAATGTGTCTGTGTTCAGTGGAGCATGCATCTTTATTGCGTTGCTCGCGTACAAGCGATTTACAGAACATCCCTTGAACAGCCGCCTCAGAAAGGCTTATAAAGTCGATGAATTCATTCAAAAGCAACTGGCATCGAATCTTTACCGAGAGGATTTCGACTTACTTCCATCTGTGATGGGAAAAGATGACGATTTATACTCAATCGAGAAATGTGGTAGCGTTATGGAGGGCTATGGCTTCTTCTCAGTGGATGTGACAGGAAGCGAACAAGACATCGATGTAATGGTTTCACCAAAGATTATGGGTGTTAGCGAAGACGACATTGACGTTAGCCGTACTCCTGTTGGGTTTGTGTGGGTGCAAATGAAAAAAATGGTACAACGGATAAAAAACTCGCGATCAGAATTATTCCAAGTTTTGAAGAAAGCAAATCAGCAATTTGTAAGTGCAAGTGCAATTTACAGTCATTTCCTTCGAGCCACGCAAGAGAATTTTAACGATGGCGACTTCGACGTCATACAGAATGAACCGGCTATAACATTGAGAGCAAAAGAAATTCATGCACAAAGGTATGGTTACATGGGAGTCATTGATATTGCTGTCGCCTTGAGTTTCTCTGGTTGGCCTCGGAGCGCAGTAGAATGGCTGAATCGAGAAAGCAGAGATTTCCGGCTTCTAAGCACTGGAATGATACAAAAAATTGCTAAAGGTGGCTGTCATTTGGTATACAAGCCATCAGGTTCCTCTGAAAATTCCCAGTTAGATTGGAGGTTTTCATTCTCTAAAGCTGAGAGAATATTGTTCCAGTATCATAGTGACAAACACGCTTTGAAACTGTGTTACATCATGTTGAGGTATGCTTACAAGAAACATCTGAAACCAAGACTGGGAAACAAAAAGATTTTAGCGTCGTACTATTTAAAGACAATTTTCCTTTGGCTTGCCGAGACAGATAACGGCCTTGATTACCATGACCTCGCCAATCACCGCTTAGGCGCATTGTTTGAACTTATGGTGAACAAACTGAGGGAGGTTTACAGCAAAAAATTCTTGTCCCATTACTTCATTAGTCAGTGGAATCTGTTGCGTGACCTTTCGAAAGCAGAGCTTAATCACGTGCAAGGCCTTCTAGATGATCTTTCACGAAATAAAAAGGAGTATATCAGTTACATTCAAGACATAAGAGGGCATATTTTACCCTTAGCCAAGCAATCTGGAGGAGCTTATAATGAGCTTCTCACAATTATTGACGAATCTACTACGAGACATACTCTTTTCCAAGCTTTTTATATTTCGAGTTTCGTCTTTGCAACACTCGTATTCGTCAAGTGTGTTCTGAATGCTCTCTCCCTAGACATAGCACTGTGTTCAGTATAAGTATTTTTCAAGAGGAGTGTCTTACTTTATCTTACCCAAGTGGATATAAATACCTTTGTTTGCACTGTACAGAAGTATCAGAAACATGTAGAGAAAAGATACACTTTAATGAACCTTTAAGAATTACAAGCATCTAATTTTTTTCCTACGATATCCCTGCTAAATCAAACATTAAGGTAATAAATGAAGGAGATTATCGCTGATAAAAGAAGCACTTGATTGCTAAACAAAGGCTCCATGTTTCAGTATCATGTATAAAAACTGCATGGATAATATACATACTAATGTCAGGTTGTAGAGTGTTAAATTATTACTCTATGCCCTCAACGTGAACATATAACGTAACACTAAGCCTTTTGTTAAAAGTGGTGATTAAGGTCCAGTAAAAAAACAAACCAAATAGTTTTTGCTACAATGACCCAGGTTACGCGAAATTTGTTCTTGCAGTTCTATTGGCAAGGTATTATAACATGGTTGACCAAAGTCAGTTAGTGCCGGTTCTTTATGCAAATTTTGTAAGATTCGGGAACAAGCACGACTCCCACGATACCAGAAAGCTCGGGAAGCTGTGCCTCTGGTGCTGGCTCGAACTTGAACTGATGCAGAAGCCTGGACGCAACTAGAAACAGCTCTATCTTGGCCAGCGACTCGCCTAAACACACTCTTCTTCCGGCGCTGAAAGGCAGGTAACTTCGATAACCATTAGGGCCTGAAACCGAGAAGTTTCCTTCAACATCAAGAAACCGTTCGGGTTTAAACACGTCTGGATCTTCCCATTCCTTTGGATCGTGATGAATCGCCCATAGATTTGTCATCATCATTGTATCCTTGGGGATGTCATATCCCCCCAGGGAACTCTCCCGTGTTGACTTGTGAGGGATCGATAAGGGGGTGGTGGTTGCAATACGCAGCACTTCTGCCACGGTACTTTCCAAATAAGGAAGACGACCTCGATCTTCGAGTCGCGGTTTTCGATCACGACCAATGATATCATCCAATTCTGCATGGACGCGCGATTGGATATCTGGGTAATTAACCATGTAAGCTAGTAACCATAGCAACGTCGCTATAGTGGACTGAATGCCAGCGTTGAATACGTCATTTATTATCATTACCAAATGGTCCTCCGTCAGTACCTGCGAAATTTTTCCGTCTTCTTCTTGCGCTTCGTAAAAAGCTTTTAAGAGCGCATCGGTCAAATCTTGGATTTTTATGTCTTTTTTGTTCGCACTTTCTTCAAACTTCTTTTTGTGTTCGTGGTACTTGGTATCTAAGACTGCGTCTCTTAATTCTTTTGCCTCTCTAAGGATTCGACTTTCTTCAATTGGAAAAAACCGCAGCCATGGAAGCATTTCGAGAATGTTAAAACCTTTGAAAAGGCGAATGAAGTGATCGTTATACTTTATAATTCGCTGGAATTCATCGTCGTCGAGTGCATAACTTTCTCCATAAGTAACAGCGCAAATCACGTTTAAAACCATTAGGCTGATGTCATCTTTGGGATCGATCGCATTTCCTTGATGAGCGGAGAGTCGATCTAACAGTCGTCCTGCTTCATCGCAGATCCTCACCTCTAGCTGTTTGAGACCGCTTCCGTACATGCGTAGAGCAGAATGAACCAGCTTCCGTTGCAAAATCATGGTTTTTGAGAAATCCGCAAAGAAAATGTCCTTAGCTTCTCGTGTGAGAAAATCTCCGATGAATGTTCGAGGCCTCCCAGCGAAATCATCCTTCTTGACCAGCAAGGCCTCACGGGCTAGGTCTACGGAATTTATTAGGATACACCGCTGACCTCCCGGTAAGTATAGCGTGAGGATCTTCCCATATTCCTTTGCGAGGTCAGTCACGGCCAAGTGAATCGGTTTTCCTACCAACTGAGTCAAATTGCCTATCACAGGGTACGGACGGGGACCCGGGGGAAGATTTTTGGGCGTCGCAGGGGCAAGAAAGAGCCACCACCCCAATGAGAGGAGAAAAATGGAGATAACGGCTTCCAAGATCATGTTGGAACTGCAAAACAAATGAGAACAAAAGCATACAATAATGAAGAAAGATCTACTTGAGCTTTGTTGGGACTAGCATACAACAGAGTAAGTATGCATTGGTACAAGCGCGCGCGTAGGACCTGACTTACAGTCTCTCCTTTTCTATTCCCAGCTATTCTCGTTCCTTTATTTTAAATATAACATGTTATCGTTTAATTTTTTTACTCAGCCGGCTATGAACTGGAGGGTTTCTTCTGCAATGCAGCATGTGATAATTCGAACAAAGGCAAAAGTTTCGTTCAAACATTTTATTTCATAGATCGTCAAAAAACATATACCAGAACAAAAGGCGTGGCTAAGGCTGTCAATCAAATTTGAAACGAAACGATCAAATGACATGATAGCATAATACCGTAACGCATGGTATCCGTCACGCAATACAAAATTAGAATGAACACGTTCGTGTCAGACTCATTCCAGGGTCCTATTAAATTCTTTTTTCATTTAAATCGATCGCATAAGTTCCTGTTTGCGCATTTTTTGATTATCTGATGCGTTCAATGCTTTACAGTCTTGCAGTTTTTTTTCTCTACTCTGCGGGGGAGGGGGAGGGGAGAGGTTAGCTTTACCCCTGAGTGGAGCAATTTACCATGGCAACTAAGTCACTAATGACGTAAACCGTTCCAATAGAAGAAGGAATTGAATCTCGGCTCTAACAACTCACGTCCTCAATAGTAACTAGAATTTTAGCATCAATTCGCATCAAAAAATAAAATGTGCTCTTTCATAAGATCAAAGTATTTGCTCTAGTATTACGAGTGATTACTATTTCGCATCACTTTCCCATAGAGCCACTTAGTTCGATCTTCAAAACGCCTGATTTTTTTTAGCAACGACACGCGATCATTAGTCACGACTACATAGAGAAGAATAACCACAACCGTGATTAACCATCTACATTTCTTTAAGCTTTGTGGTCAAATATTTATGATTTCTTTTTAATGGCTAGTATCTATTTTTTTCGAAGGTTATGGGGGGAACGTTCAACCCCAGATCATCAAAAAATATTGACATCGTTTAGCGGCGATGAGCGAAACTTGGTCTTGTCGCCGCAGAGTGCACGTAAACAGTTCATTGTTCGTCCTCATGGTCAGTCAATGAACCTTGCAGTTATTCTCAGCAGAGATAATGTTGTTTATGGTTATAAAAAGAGTAAAGACGGTATACCTCACCTTTTGGCTCTCTACTAATCGGTAGGTGTCCTTAGCAGTTATTATCTAGATCATTACGTAAGTGTTCCGTCGCGCAACCGCGACCCTAATCAGTGTTGGGCCTGGTGTTGCGTCAAGCCGTTTGTTATCACACGGCGGACACTTATTATGAGGAGTAGGGAGAGGTAGAATTCGTTGCATGTGCCCGTCGTGACCCGTTTGCGCTGCGAGGCCAGGGAAACAATAACGTTCTTATTTATTCCCAGCGGTGAACGACATGACCAATGCGTGATTGATACATGTCTCGCATATCAAATTGTTAGTGCTTTGCGCTCAATCGTTCCAGACTGTGCGAAAGCAGCCCAAAGCGAGACTTTTTGTTTCCAATTCAGCCATTAAGTCTCCGTGAAAGGTAAGCATGATGAAAATTGTCACTTAATTGTTGCATTATATGACATTTAGTACCAAGTTACGCTCTAAAGGTCAATGGAGTCAAATATACGCCAACGACGAAATTTGTCTCTTTGCGAAATAGCGATAAACGCTTTCAAATAATAGAAAATCTCGTACATTTCAATGGTAATAATAAATCAATTACATAGTATGGAATAGTTTAAATCACTTAATTTCGAGGAAAACATTTGACAACTGGACTAGGAGTATTTGTGAAATCGTGTCCTGAAGTAATTACCATTTACATTCGTAATACTGAAAAGCGGCAATCGCAAATTTATTACCAACGTAAGCAATAACAGCATTGCCCAATAAGGTGTGTTTCGAGTCTGTTGAGAGGAAAGCTTAAAATTGAGGAAAACATTCGACTGCCGGACACGGAAATTGTTTTGTTTGTTCGTGTCTGGAAGCTTGCGGCAAACAGTTGTACCCGATTTACATTTGTGAAAACAACAAGTGAATCGTGAATTTATTAGCGACGTAAACAAAACGGTCTTGCGTATTATAATTCGAACTTAATTGCGCAGTAAAACTTGAAATTGAGGAAAACTGTCGACTGCCGAACACGGAGTATTTATGAGCTTGCAACAAGCCTCTAAGTCACTGACTTAGAAACTAAGTCAGTCTTAATGAACACAAAGCGCCGAGCTTATGCAAAGCTCGCAGTTCTGCGGTGGAAATCGTGGCGCGTCCAGCTATCTTAAAATGTATTTGATAGTATGACTTGAAATAACTAAATATTTTCGACTACCGGGTCTTGTCAAAAACCTGTCTGGCTGCAGGACATCTAGACACATCTATAGCCGCAAACGCTAATCACTCGTATTTCAAACTTTACTAGAACAAACTTGACACATTGTTGAATACGGTAACTGAAAATGACAAAATTACAAACACGCGAATGAGCATAAAATAACTTACATCGTATGAGTGAAAGTACTGGAAAACGACAAAGCGAAATAAACAAGGATACTTACAAGACGAATGTGACCAAACCAAAGACGAAAACATGAAACCCAGAGCTAGATATGTAACGATAATTTTCGCAAACTAGACAACTAAATTACGCGCAACCAATATATATACGATATGCAAATAAATATAACAAGTACAAAACTGGTAACTCACAAAGGATACTAATGGAAGACGAGAAAATAAACACCTAACACGAAACTATGAAACACCAACACCAACAAAAAATGATAATACAAATTCTTGCGCCTACAACATCGTTTACCTGGGAAAATTAACTCGACTTGTTTTTACCGAAACAAGGAATGAGCAAGAATGATCTATAACGAGAAAAAAATAAGTGAAATTTCACGACTGGGGTGGCATGAAAGTGTCTGCATTTTTGTAATGAGGAGAGTCCGTAATAACGGGAGTTGTTTCAGTCATTTCTTTGAGCGTTTCGCCGGGGGTCTGGCTCCTATCCGCAGTGGCGGGGTATCTGCAGGGCAAGAGTCGACTGTACTTTTATACTTCTCTTCTACCGCTCTGTGATTTGAAAATTTTGAAAATCTTTCAATTTCAGCTGAAATAATACTACTGACATGTATTGGGAAGCATTGATTCTCGTTGCAACCGCTGGTCAAAAGGAAAGTACTGCTTTCCCCCAGGACCGCGCCGGTTACCTCTGATCGGTAACCTGCTAGACATGGCAAAATTCAACCACGTGACCATGCAAAAGTTCGCGAGACAATATGGTAAGATTTACATGATGACAGTAATGAGGCAGAAGATGTTTTTTGTTACTGATATTGAGTTGGCGTGGGATGCCCTTATTCGCAGAGGAAACATATTCGCAGGAAGGGCAAAATTTTTTATCAATGAAGGCCTACAACCAGATGGAGCATCCATCGTTTTCAGTGATTATGGACCGCGCTGGAAGCTGTTACGAAAAGTCACCCATTCAGCTCTTCGAATGTTTGGAAGCGGTGTGCAAAACCTGGAGGAAAAAGTTCAACGTGAGGTGGCTGATGTATGCTTTCATCTAAGAGAGTCACAAGGTGTCCCTTTCAATCCAAAGAAACGTCTCGCCCTCGGAGTGACAAATGTGTTATTTTCGTGCCTTTTTGACACGCGGTTCACGGCTGAGGACGAGCATCTGGAAGAATTCCAAAAGTTGAACGAAGATTGCATGCGTCTTCTTGGAGTTGGTACGTTGCTTGACATGTTTCCTTTCATGAAATATCTTCCGCTGAGCATTCATAAACGCATTCAAAGTGTCTACAGCCTGAAAAAAAAACTTCTCTGGCCTTTCGTCCAAAAGCACAAACAGACGTATGAAGAGGGTGTCATCCGGGACATCACAGATGCCCTTTTTAAGGCAAAGTACCAGGCGGAAAGGGAAGATTCCAAAGTGAGAGGCATGTTGAATGACACTTTGATTATGGAAACGCTGTCAGATCTCGCTATCGCTGGCTCAGACACAACCACAGAGTTTTTGACCTGGTCTCTTCTTTATTTGGCGTCCTTCCCAGATGTCCAAGCGAAGATACATCAGCAGCTCGATGACGTCATAGGCCGCGACCGTCTACCTCGCATGCAAGATAGAGGCAGTTTGCCATATTTGGAGGCCACCATCTCGGAGATCATACGTCATAGCTCTTTTGCCCACGTTAGCATCCCTCATCGGGTGCGAAGCGACACAACCCTTGGAAATCACGACATTCCAGAAAATTCTCAAGTGATTTTCGACCTCAGAGCTATTCATCACGACCCGAAACATTGGAAGGAGCCTGACGCATTTGACCCAACGCGTTTCTTGGACGAGGAAGGTAACTTCATTTGCCCGGCCACCCTCAGTTTCATTCCATTTGGTGGCGGTCCTCGTGGTTGTGTGGGTCAGTCCTTGGCTAGAATAGAGTCGTTTTTATTTCTAGCTGGCCTTCTTCAGCGTTTTAAATTTGAGTTTCCCCCAGACTCCTCCCAGCCAGATTTGGAACCGCCAGTGGACCCGATACCACGGGGTGTCTTAACACCCAGTCCCTATAAACTGTCTGTGACTGAGAGACAATGAAATGCAACTTTGGCTCAGCTTGATAAATCAATTGAACACTTGGCATTTTTTTCGCATTCTAACTGCATGTAAAATTTCAAGGGGGGTGGGGGGGGGGGGAAGGGAATGAACGTTTTACATTTTCCAAGTTGTTTGATTCTTACAGAGACTAGATCCGAGGGAAATTCAAGAGCCAAGTTTAATTCAAAGTCATTATTGTGACTTTGTATTTTTATGATACAGTTTTAGGACAATTCATACTACTGAAATCATGAAAACGCCAATTCCTTATTTCTTAAACCGTGTCCTTTAGCGAAGAGAACTGCTATGAATGCGACGCCAGGGTGCCTGAAATTTGATTTGTTAATCTCAACTGCAATAAAAGGTCTCCCATCCTCAAGTTGATCGCCTTCTTGTTCATGCAAGTGTTACGCGTTTTGGGAACTGAACACGACCTTCCAAGGGACACTGTATCACTTATTCGTTACGTCTTCTGAAATATCCCGACATCTTTGATGTGACGTGGTAATTTAGTGTTATCAACTGAGTTGAAAACGTAAACTGGCTACCGTAAAGAGTTTGAAGGCTGACGTTTCGAGCGTTAGCCCTGCGTCATTCGCTCTGACCAAGAGCCAACGCTCGAAACGTCAACCGTTCAACTCTCTACGGTGGCAAATTTGCGTTTTCAACTCAGTTGATAAATAGAGAATAATAGATTGGTGCGCGTAGATATGGAATTTCTCTTCGAGTGTATAACTCGAAAGCTCACGAGTGAGCACAGCGACGAGTGAGATGTCAAGTTGAACACGAGAAGAGAAATTCCATATCTACAAGCAACCATGTACTATTTTGTTTATCATATAAATACAATAGCCCTTTATTGAGAAGAAAAGCCGACTTCATTTACGAATGAAAAGAAATGAATCGACAAACCCCGAATAACAATCGTAGAGTGCGTTGGCGCTAACTCCTAAGATGCAAAAGTGCGTTGAATGATGATTACAAGAACAGCAATGGTCGTAATTTTCAATTTACAAAATTCTTATTTGTCCTTACCGACAGAAGAAGTCTTTCAGGTAAACGGCCAAAATCGGCTAGTGGCAAATCTTCCAGTTGTCGATTTTCATTCTCAGACGAGAGAAATGCTAACACCAAAGCCACTGAATACGTAACTTTCGGTTTTTCTTTTAGTATATTGGTTTTCTTCCCCGTCTAGGAAAGTATGAACCTCACTGTCTGTCAGCGATACGGATTGTTTAGTGTTTTAGCCGCCCTAATTCGAGAAAGCTCCTACAAACAACTTGTATTGAGAATCGTGAAGACTTTGTTTCATTCATCAACCTGACCGAGTGGCGCGTGAAGTGTCTAACCTCCTTCTTAGATGTCCAAGGGAAGATACATAGTCAGCTGGATGACGTCATAGACTCTAACTGTCAGCCTCGCTTGCAGGACAAAGGCAGTTTACCATATCTAGAGACCACCACGATGGAGATATCGCGCCATAGCTCTCGGGTTTACGCCACTCGGCCTCATCGAGTGTTCAGTGACACAACACTTGGAAGGTACGACGTCCCAGAAAATTCTCAAGTGATTTTCGACCTCATGGTTGTTCATCAAGACCCAAAACATTGGAAAGACCTAGACACGTTTGACTTAACGCAGTTCTTGGACGACGACGGAAACTTCGTTTACACAGTTACCTTTGGTTCCATTCCGTTTAGTGGCGGTCCTCGGGGATGTATAGGCCAGTCGTCGGCTAAAATTCAAATTTCCTCTTTTTAGCTGGCCTTTTTCAGAAGGATCAACCCAGCCAGATTTGAATGCGCTTCCAGACTCCATTTTACGTGGCAGATTTTAACTGAACATTCCGTTAAAATTATACCGTTTTAAGTAACCTTTCTCTACTGTAGAAAATAACTCCAGAGATACGTTTCTCAAAACTTCATTTGGGTATCTTCTATTCTTTAAGCGTATTTTGAAACTCTCTACGTTTTTATCAAACATGGAGCTTGATGAGTTCGTTCTTAGGAGGCGCTTCTCCTTTCAAGAATCTTCATTTATCCCTAACACGAAAAAGAGCTTTGTGTATTAGGAGGTGTCTGTCTCTTTGTTATTTGTTTGAATGTCAAAGGTTGATTCCCTGTCAAGTAACTCGCGTCTGGGAATGTAATTTCTAACTTTGATATTATTTTTACAGCCATCGTCTGTGTGTAACTGCTTCTATTTGTGTAATTTTCTTTCTAAGGCAGACTGCAGATTCGATTCTTCCTGATTCTCGTCAGTTGCCTCCTAAGGACGAATTCGACACGGAGGAATGGCGGGGGTCGCACAGGCCTGTCGACGCGTACGCTTTTACAACTTTCAAAGGAACGGCAACATCCCTCTTACATATTGATGCTATTTTCGCTGCCACCAAAGATGTTCACTCGACCGCAACAGGATGCAAATGACTTCATTTTTTCTTTTACGACCATGATGCAACGCAATCAGATTGCGAATTACACATGCCCACGTGGTAACCTCACTCTTGTTCACGTGTCATCCTAATTTTATCAGAAAGGGAAATCACATTTATCCATATAATCACGTGGTTAACATACCGTTGTTCACAAGAGACTTGTCATTTGCTAGTAAACAACAACTGTAAACAGATTCTTAAATCCGTGAACTGAGCAAGTGATCAGGGACCGATCGAGTAAACTCGAGCGAGCATTCAACACGCATCTGTTCGCCGCGATACTATATACTATCCTTTTTTAACTACGAGGTGAGTGAATTTGTATCTGAAATCTGACATGATTATTATTGATCTCTAAATATGCTCTCTAAACTTATTTGAGTTGACGCCAAATTGATGGAAGGATTTGAAATTACATAACTTCTGTCGGAATCGACATAAGTGTATGGATTTCAAGTTATTATGACGGTGAAACTCAAGTTCTTAGAAGTGCAGTCTCTCTCAGAATTTTATTTAATAATGATAAATTGTCGGTTATGATTAGCTGATAAAAAGAAGCATGTGCAATATCACGCGTGCTGAAATGCAAATTTTTGACACGATAGTCGCAAGAACTGGGGTCATATATATTATCCTCGAAAGCTTGAGCATTATGGTTTAGAGCGTCACCCCCGAAAAAAATGGCATTATGCCGAAAATTATGCTCAGAATTTAAATATCGTTTTTAAGGTAATAACTCAATATAATATAAAAGCTCCTAGGACCCTCAACCTCCCCTTCCATTCCCACCACCTCTTAAAACAGGTCAAACTTGCTAAAAATAAAAAGCTTACCGAACTTCAGAACGTATCATTAATCTGGATAAAATTCCCACAGTGCAGGTAAGCAATACAGACAGCTGTTGACAGTTCTCAGGCTACAGAATTTGTCTTTTGTTGAACAGTAACATCAAGGAATTTTTTTTAGAAGTTTGTTCATTGTGGCAGCAGCATTATATATGATCGACACTCTGACTATAGAATTCTGCCTCAAATTATATCAGCCAGTATAGTTAATTTCACCCTATTTTAAAAGAAGTCTTGGATATCACCTGAAGACAGATCTAAAACGTTCCTCTCGCATTCACATTTGTCTAATGCTTTCCGCGGCGTTTTCTAAGGATGTCAGTCTGCGCATTTGCGAAAGAAACTTATCGAAGTCAGTGCAAGTAGAGATTGACCGCTTCCCCAATTCAGTTTTAAACTTTTTTGACTCATCGAGGTAAGGTACCCCCCTTCCCCCACCCTACACTACTTCATTACAGTACGCTCTTGTGTTTAAAGATCTTCAGGTCAAGGTATTTTGGATAACTTTGTCTGTTCGTTTGATTTAACTTTCAAATTTCCAGAGGAGCAGTCTCTCATGGAAAAATTCACATTCGCGAATTATGTTTGACCTTGGAGGCAAATCTTACATAATGATATTTTCCATTCATCTACTATGTACCGACTAGCTCAAAAATCTTGCTGGCTTGGGTTTCGCGAATCGCTGTGATTTGTGCTTCGCGGGAGCAAATTTTTACGCTACGAGATGGTTGAAATTCTTATTGGTAATGCGTCGATCAATTCGAAGCTGCCAAGAAACGCGTTAAGATGGTACGTGAGACGAATGCGCAAAGCACTATCAACGGTGGCAGTGTTCTATGTTGTTTGATCCTTACTTTCAGTTTGATGCTTTTGAATTTTTCCAGATTATTATCAAAATTAAAGAGCCTTACAAAAATGTTATCATGTCTTCCAACCCTTGTACACGCAGGAAAGTAGGTAATAAACAGAATTCAAACGAGCACGCATGTACTAACGTTGTATAGGCTGGGTGGCGTCCTTTCAGGCTGTCAGAGCCAAGTTTCTCGCTCGAGTGCAAAGAACCACACAAGCCATCGCGGTCATCAAAAAGTAGAGGTAAGGCATTACGAAAAATCGGATTAAAAAAATTATGATTTTCGTACCACGAAAAAAGAAAATTTTCACAGTTCACGAGGTTTTAGTTTTGTGTTTTCTTCGGTCACCAAAATTAAAAAAACCTAATCTCGCATCGCGAGAAAAAAACCCTTTCACCCTCTTACAAAACAGACTGGTAAATCTAAAGGATACTTGTATTTGAATGCTAAGCTTTGTCTTAGATAATTCTCGAGTTTTCCTTTTCCCCTCTCATTTTCCTTTAGCAGGTTTTTATAAGCGTTTTGTTTGTCTTCCGTTTTTCTCATATGCTTGTCTTTGAAATTTTGCGCGGGAAATGGACGCGCGGGCGGCCAAATTGATTCCCTTTCGCATGCCCAAGGTTTGATTGCTGCGTTCATACTGCAGAAAAGCGTTTTTCACGATCTTGACCCACTATAACACCGAAACTCATCAGTTATATGAATTGTTGCCTTTGTTACTGCGGAAGAGGGGATCATAGACTCTAAGGGATCTCAACAACTCTCAAAATTTCTTAAGCAGCTCTTGTCCTTATTACTCCAAGAACAAACTTGTCATTTAAAAAGAATGGCTTCCTCGGAAACTTAAGTAAAATGAGTCAAACTGTTAGTACATTATAGCCTTCGTAAAGGAGTATTATTTCATATTAGAGAACTGAAGGAAAGTAATTCTTTTCACTGAATAACAGCTAAAAAGAAGACAAACATACAAAAATAAACATAAAAAATTAACCGGACACTTTATTTTTATTTCTCTTTCAGCTACATGAATTAATCTTGTTGCCATGCTTTGGAAAGCACTGATTATCTTCATCATTTCAAGTCTACTGTATCTTACAGTGATGCGCCGCTGGTCTGAGCGAAAGTACCACTTTCCTCCTGGTCCGTGCCCTTTACCTTGGATATGAAGGAGCTCAACCCCGTGACCATCAGGAGCCTGACAAGACAATACGGTGAGTTTTACATGATTTCATGCCTAGGTAAAAATTTTTTTGTTATTATATGATATCGAGTTACCTTGGAATGCCTTCGTTCGCAAAGGAAACATCTTCACTAGCTGGAACACAAAATGTTCGATTCTATGGGCCGTTGCTGGAAGCTGTTACGAAAGATATCTCATTCAGCTCTTTGAATGATTGGAAGCGGCGTGCAAAATCTGGAAGAAAAATCCCAAAGTGAATTCGATGACCTGTTCGGTTTCTTAAGCGAGTCATAAGGTGTCCCTACTAATCCAAGGAAGAGTATTCTTCGATGAGTAAAGAACATTGTCTTCTCGTTTTTTTAACAAACACTTCATTGAGGAGAACGAGTTCTTGAGGAAATTCGACAAGCCGGTTGAGGAGACTAGCTATGCATCTTGTACAAGTTTGCTCGATACATTTTCATTCATGAAATATCTTCCGCTGAGCATTCACAAACGCCTTAAAAGTTCGGCTACGATCTAACAAAGAAGCTTCTCTAGCCTTGCATCCACGAACACAGACAGACGTGCGAAGAAGGAACCATTCGCCATGTACACGTTGTCAGATCTCTTACTTGCTGGGACAAATACAAGCACAGAGTTTTGATCTGGTCACTTCTTTATTTAGTATCCTTCCTGGATGTCCAAGCTGAAACACACAGGGAGTTGGATGACGTCATAGGCCTTAACCATCAGCCTTGTTTGCAGGACAAAAGAAGTTTACCATATCTGAAAGCCGCCACCATGGAGATCATGCGCAATAGCTCACGCGTCTTCGTCACTTTTCCTCATCGAGTGCTCAGCGACACAACACTTAGAGACTACGACATCCCAGAAAATTTCTAAGTGATTTCGACCTCAGGGATGTTCATGACCCGAAACATTGGAAGGACCAAGACACGTTTGATCAAACGCGGCTCTTGGACGACGAGGGAAACCTCATTTGCCCGGTCACCTTTAGTTTCTTTCCGTTTGGTGGCGGTCCTCGGGGATGTGTAGGCGAGTCGGTGGCTAAAATTGAAATTTCCTCTTTTTCGCTGGCGTTCTACAGAAGATCAAACTCGATTTTCTCCCAGGCTATACTCAGCCAGATTTGAAGGTGCCAGAATCCTTTACGCGAAGAATTTTTGACACCAAGGCCCTATAAACTTTGTTTCATCAAGAGAGATACTGGAGAGAAACTTCAGATCAGGGCAGGAAGAGGCTTCCGTTCAATGATGTTGGCACTATTCCAAAAATCTTCGTTTGAGCAGGTGATACTAGAATGGCTTGTAAGGAGTTGCGTAGGCCTGTCCATATCATGTTCTCAATCACCAGATCCCTCTCTACTCGCCTCACTTCCCGGGCCTATTTTCGTCTTCGCGCGCTTATTTGTTCCATTTTCCGTTAAGAAGTCATTTCACAAAGCCTACGAGTAGGTTCTTCTTATGAACGCTTCGGTCTGAGCATTTCCTCGCCCGCGCGAAAGTATGAGGTCTTGTACTGTTTGACCACCGGCAAAACCTCTCCCGGACTTCCAGCGGCGTTAAAACGCGCGTCCGGCAGCTCTAATAACATTTAGGACCTTAAGCGAACCACGACGACGACGGCAACGAGGACGTGGCAAATTAAAAGCTCTAATGGGTAGAACAAAAGCTCAGCACGTGCGTTTTATAGCTTTGTACCTTTGCAAAACAACAACGTGAAATCACCAAAACATGCGTCGCCTGTGACTGCAAATTAATTTAATTTCCATTTGTAACTCAAAGCTGCTTAATTAAATACGTTATACTGAAGTTCAGGTGTGGCGTCGTAAGACACAATAAACACATCCAGCCATCTAAAGATAGAAATTCATTTTTTTAATCGACGTCTCCTCGGTCTAGCCTTCTTGACTGCTTAAGGTCCCTAATGACAGCCTGCTCGGAAGCTACATTCACAGGATAAATCGACTTTTGTTTATGAGATCTCTCTGGAAATCGATTGCCTGATATTGTGTGTTTTTTTTTCGCTCTATTATGCGTTTATGATAAACGGGGCATCAGTGCGATTGTGTTGATGCATGTTTCTCTTAAAGAAATATAAATGCTAACCTTGTTTGGAAACACTAATTTGAAACTCTTTCATGCATCAGCTTGCTATATTTCTCGCAAGTTATTCAAAAGCAAAATTGGATATTACTCTCTTAAGCGCCAATTTCCCTCAGCAATAATTGTTTTAAATACACGATATATTTGCCGGAAATTAGTCTATCACAAACTTCATTCGAGAAGTTTTCAACGTGAAAGATGACCTTCAAGAATTTTGAACTTGGTCAGAACTGGAAGCGTGAACAATTGAATCATTCCAATATTTAATTAAATTGAGTCTATTTAAGGAAACACAACAGATAAAACGGGTTTAACCCTCTTAGAGCACACGCACCCCTCTTCACCATTCTCGCTAAATTAAGCGCTGATTAATAGCAATAATCAAATTTTACGCGATCTTTTTATAACTTTTAATCCTTTATAGCCTTATTTACTCTTTGTTTTTTCCATGAAGGTGGGTGTTATTGGAATTATTTTTAGGAACAGCTTTTGTGGCACTTGTATGAGAAGTAAACTATGGAAATTGGATTCGCTGTACTTCAGTGATTTTTGATCAAGAGGTTTTTAAATTTGTGATTTGAAATGTCGCGCAGGAGATCGAGAAAAGAATTATACTTATCGAAAGAAGCTTAGCTATGTACTATTTTCCCCGTCCTATTTTATCCAACATGTATCTTTAAAACTAGTGTCTAAAAAAATGGTGGCAATAAAGCACTTGGCTGTGCGATTCGGCTCAAAAACAAGTCTATAAATAGCTATATTTTCTCTATAAAAGCCGGCACATAAGTTGCCGCGTGTAGTTGACTCACGACCTTGATCAGTCAAGTTGGCGAAAGCTTGGTCGGCTTTGAAGTCTCTCGATTTGAGATTGCGGCAGTGAGGTAAGCAGTTCATAGAATTGAGGATAGATTGACAGAGAAGAGGAATCAGTAATGAAAACATGCTCAAAGTTACTCAAGTAGTAAATTAGAATCGCCGAAGCAATTCTTTCTGAAGAGGGGCTAACGCTCGAACGTTCGCTATAGAGACTGTTTTCCGGAGACCAATTTGTATCATCAACTCAGGTGATAACACCAAATTGTCTAGTCATACCCCCCACTAATCATGATACCGCATATATCACAGGTAATTTAGAAACTTACCTCTATATTCAAATATAGCAATCGTTTGATAGACAATTTCCAGCTTGCTTAGAGCAAGCCACCCAAACAAGATATTTGCTTTTTTTTTCACCAGATTTCGCGCGAAGTTTATTTCCTGAATTAAGTATTTGAGACTTTCTTCTGTCAAATGTAAAACCGCTTGGCGCACACCAGTTTTAAGAACTTACAAAACTTGGCCGGAAACTATTAATTCGTGCAAGTTTAAATTCTCACGAAGCAACTAATTGACTAATAAAAGTGCGCTTGTGTGAACAGTTTAGGAGAATCGATCTCAGACCACAGCATTTTGTTGCTTATAACGCTTTTTCAATTTGAAGAATTTAAAATAAACCACTCAGTAAACAAAGACGACCGATAAAAGAAAAATGAATCCCTAACTCAATCCATGAGCAATGATGCTTGCATATTTCGCTAAATAAAAATTGAAGGTTTTCGCTCAATAGTGTTTCAACACGATAAGGATGTTATCAATTCTTTTTGTCGGTCGCTTAAGACCGATGTCGGTCGCATATTGAAGTTAAATTTTCAGAGGTGCTTAGCGAAAGCTATGACTAAGTTGAACGTATTCATCTAAGGTTTTAAAACCTCCCTGGGAAAGGGGGATTCAAGTGGGGTGTACTGCTAGGACCCAACCTCCGGGTGCAACTCGGACTCTGTTTATGGCAAATTAACCAAACTGAGGCTCTATATGTAAAGAGTGTTTCTTACACAAACTCAAACATAACATGGTCTACAACAAATCTTATTCAAACTAAAAAAAATTCTGGAGTTGGATGGTTTGAGGGTCGATTCGATGTAATCTGTTCTAATTAGGGAGACCTCTTTTCCCAGAAAGTTAAAGAAAAGCGCGGAAACCCCTAATTCGTGTTTTGCCTTAAATTGTGGTAAATTGCCGCGAAATTTCAACGTACAGTTACAATTCTTTGATGTTTGCTATCACTAGGAGGCCCATTTGTGGCTGTTACATGAACTCGTTTTTGTGTTTGCGGTGTGCAAAAAAAAAAAAACCTGATGTAATTTGCATTCTGATCATTCTCAAAAGCAACAATGTGAGATGATACGAAGGAACACAAAAGCGCTTTCACATTGAAGGTCTATGATCCATAACACACGTGCCGGTGATAAAAATATTTCGAGATTTACATTCAAGTGTTAGATCGCACCGATTTGTTCATATAACAAAGACAGCTTTCATGAAATTGGCAAAACACCTGCAAAATCTTTCGCAATATTCTCAACTTCCGTGAGAACGAAGCACTGAGGAACTCATGCGTTAATTAGCTCACGTGAAGTAGCGTGATCTTAGCGGCTTGGCGAGAGTTTATTTTTGTTATCGCTAACTCTTTTTTTTTTCTTCTTATTTTTTGAGTTCGCATGTCACAATTACGCGACAACGTTCTAAGTATGAACAGCAGCAAGCCAAAATCATTCCAAGAAGTATGCCAAAATAAATATTCACGGCTCAGCTCAAAATGGGCGCCAGATTTGTAACCCGCGAGATTAAACCATTTTCAAAACATACACAACCATTTTAACACTTAGTTCGGATCACTTTTGATGAAAGACGCGGAGCGTGTCCGTTTGAGTCTAGCAGACAATTACACGCTCCAGCTGTTAGTATTTAAGTGTCCCGCAAAAACCCAGACATAACAGAAATGCGGTTTACATGCTGGAGATACCAACTTCCTAAGGGGTCACGTACAAAATTGCAAAGAAAGTGGCTACACGTTTCCAAAAATACCTCTGCATATTAGTTTTCCGATTGAAAGTGATCCAATTCAAATAACCGGAGTGCAGTTTTGAAATATTTCCACGAACTCTCTAAATACCACTATGAACAAGAGTTCTTCTGTTTTCGGCATAAAATTGGCCATAAAATTGGCCTACGCTATTTGCTGTTATTGACGTGAATCATACTTCTCTGGAAATCAACCCACGCCTTAGCAACAGGTTACCAAAACACTCTGAGGATTAGAAGTAGTTTCTTGAAGTCAGTTTTCGCTCTTTGAAACGATTTTACGTGCCAAAGCGATCTTTGACATGCCGGGTAAATAAGTAGTCGTATGACCTTGCGAGAGCAAATTCAATCCTTTGCACGTGGAAGTTTCCCGCTATAAAAACATGACACCGGCGACAAGATAAATAGGGTTTTAAAGATAAATCGGTCCTAAGGGTAAAAGGATAAGGAAAATACCTTAAACAAACTCACACTTATCAGACCACCCAAACGTGCAAGAATTTTCTTCGGGGTCATTTATCACCCCGTATAATATCCGATTCATCTTTGCCTCTCCACGTGCACTACGGAGCTTAAAAAAAACAGTATAATCTTATAATCGAGGCGCTAAAAATGTTTTCGTGGCTCGATAAATCAAGTGTCTTACAGAATAACTGCCATGCGTCTTGCAGGCAAATCTGATGGTATTTCATGTTGAGGTTTGAAAGAACACAACTTCATTGTGTTTGAAAAGATGGCCGACGCTTTGTCTTAATACAATATTTGACAACGCAATAAACCCAAACCGCAATTTCCTCTTATCCATAAGAACATTTAGCAGTGGGACAAAGAAAGGCTAGACTTTTTAGTTGAGATGTTCAAGTTGTTATTTCCTTA